GGGGCACAGCCCAGGCTCCGCGCCGCCCGCGCCCGGGGAGCCGCGCTCCGGGCCCTCCTCGGGGCCGCCGTCGGGCTCGGGGCCGCGGGCYGTCTTCTTCACCTCCACGAAGGCGCTGCGCTTGGCCTCGCCGGTCTCCGGGCTGGGCGGCGCGAAGAGGCGTCCGCCCTCCTCGAGCCCGCAGTAGGAGCCGGCGGCGCGGTACTGCTGCTGCGGGGCGCTGCCCGGCTCCTCCTTGGGCGCCGCCGGCAACCCCGGCCGCTCCGCTGGGAAGCGGCCCCGCGCCGCGCCGGGCCCGCGCTCTTCCTCCTCAGGGAAGCGCCGCTTCGCCTTTCCGGCCGCAGCCTCAGGGCCGCCCTCGGGGGGCGCCGGCCGGCCCGGGGACCCGCCGCGCCCGCCGCGGGAGTTTTCCAGCTCCCGCGCCAGGTTGTGGAAGTCCGTGGAGGGCTTGGTGCTGGCGGCGGGGCCTCCCTCGGGCCCGGGGAAAGGGTGATGCGGCGGCCCGCTGGGCTTCCCGAACTTGCCGGGCTCCTGCTCCTTGCCGGCGCCCTCCTTGACGCCGGCGGCCTCGGCGGCGGGGCCAGTGTCGGGGCCGTGCAGCCTTTTGGGACAGCGGAACCGGAGGTGTGCGGCGAAGGGCAGCTCGAACTGGAATCGCTGACTGCACTCAGGGCAGGCGAAGGGCGGCGAGCCTGCTCCGGGCGGACACGACATAGAGAGAGAGAGAGAGAAAGCATCGTCAGCCGGGGCCGCCGACGGGATGTCCCCCCGAGGGTCTGGGAATCGGGAGATCCCGACGCCGACAGCCGCCTCCCGATTCCCCTCGGCGGCGGGGACCCCCCTCGTTCCTCCCCCTCGGGAGCGCGGACAGCCTCGCGGGGCACCCACCGTTGGTGCGGGCGGGGGCTCGGGCCGGGCCAAGCAGCAGCAGCTCGGTGAGCTCCTTCCCGTACCACACCAGCAGCTCCTCGTCCTTGGCGATGCGGCGTAGGGAGCGATAGAAGAGCTGCCCGCTTTTGATGTAGGCCTCCAGGTTCTGCTCCTCCCGCTCCCGCGCCGACTGCACCAGCCGCAGCCACATCAGCCCTTCGGACGAGCCGTTGGCCGCCGACGTGTCCACCTGAAACCTCGCGTTAATCCACCAGACCGACAGACAGACCGACCGACAGCACGGGGCCGGGAAACAGTAGGAGCGGCGGCGGCGGCGCGGCCCTGCCCTCGGGGACAGCCTCCCGGCGGCGGGGGCACCTCCGGCCGAGCTGCGCTTCGCGGCGGGGACGCGCTCGGGCACCGGCCGAAGTGGCGAGCGGCTGGGCCCAGGGACGAGCGGCTCTTACCCGGAATATGTAGGGGACGGTGCGCTTGTCGGTGGACTTGAGTGCGATAAAGGCGATGCTGTCGTACAGGGACGTGTGRCTCAGGACGCAGGGGCCGAAAATGGCATTTTCCGGGATGTCGCAGGTGGTGTAAACGCTGGTAAAAATGTCAGTCAAGCACTGCTGGACCGTCTTGGCATCCCCGTCCCATATTCCCCGCTGGACGCCGGCGTCCTCCATCCCTGCGGACGGAGAGAGGGGCAGAGAGTGGCCGTTACCGCAGCGGGTCCCGCTCAGCGATGCCCCGGAAAACAAAATAAAATTTAATTGAATTATTAAATAGAACATCAAAAAAAAAAAAAAAAAGTCAGCTCTTTATGTCACTTTGAATGAATGTCTTGTGAATTATATCAGAATAAACAGGGAGTGAACCAATAATGTAAAAAAAAAAAAAACAACTTTCTTTTTTTTTTTTCTTTTTTAATTAAAAATCAAGAAAAAAAAGCAGGCGAGCAGATTTTCCGGTCTGAAAAAAAATTTTAAGCAGGCTACGAGCCCCGAGCAGAGGCGAGGTGCGGGGACTCTGCCGCACTGATTTATTTTTTTTAGCGAAAGCGGCAGAGCCGGCTCCGGGCACGCACCCGGGAATCCCACCGGCTGAGTCCTGTCCCAAGCAGGTGCCGGGCACCCAGAGGCGGCGGGTCTCCCTCCGGTAACCCTCGGAGCCGAGCCGGGCTGCGGGCTGTGCCGGAGGAGCGGGTGGGTTCCAGTGGCTTGTCATTGTCGCCGATTGCGTGTCAGCTCACCTCCCGCTCCGCGCGACAAGGGGAACGTATGGCTGCTCATTATCATAATCCAGCACTTTCCCTCCGAGACTTTAATTAAAAGCAGCAAGCAGAGGTAATTATTTTTACCTCGACACGCTTATTTATGGAGCAGGGTGAGCCCCGGCTGCCGCGCCTTACGAGGGGAGGGATGCGGGCGGCGGGCAGCTGGCGGGGCGCGGGCAGGGTGCGGAGCCGGCGGCGCCGAGGCCAGGGAGGGAGCATCGAGCCCGGCTGATGTGCCCTCGCCCTTCCCAACCCGATTAGCGCACGGCTGCCTCCCCCCGCCCCATCTGCCATCGAAATCCGTCATTTGGGGCTGGCTCGGGAGAAGACCGGTGCTCCTCCCGGTGCGCCTGCTGACGGCTGCCGCCGCTCGCACCGGGCACGGCCTCGCCGAGTCGCCGCTCCCCACCGAATTCGAGGTACAACCGGTTCTCCGCGACCCGGGCAACTTCGCCTCCCGAAGACGCGGCGGGGGTCCCGGCCCCTTCCCGGGAACGGGGGCCGGAGGGGTGGCGCTCGGGCCGCCTCCCCGGCGCCTTCCCCGTTCCCCCGCTGGCCGACACATCCCTTCCCCGAAGGAATGATTTCGCCAAACGAAACCAACGGCATCGAGCGGCCCCCGCCGAACTTTCCCCCCGGCGGCAGCGGGCCTCGTACGGCTCCCCACGGCACCGCATCCCTCCGGCTCCCCGGGCCGCCCCCGGCCCCGCGGCGCTGGCCTCCCCCCGGCCGCTCTTTGTCCGGGCCGGGCGGCGCCGGGGCCGCTCCCGGAGGCTCCCCTGCCGGTCCCCGCAGCCCGGGCAGGGCCGCCGGCAACACGGCCATCCCCGGCATTGTTCCCGCTCCGGGGCGGCGGGGGGCGGCGGGGCCCCTCCGCCGGTACTCACCAGGGACGGTGGCGATAATCCTTGCCCCTACGGTGGCACAAAGGCGGCTTCGGGCTGGCTGCCTCGGGCTCTCAGCGCCGCTCCATGCCGGGCCGGGCCGTGAGGGCGGCGGAGCGGGAGGCGCTCGGTGCAGACGGACCCGGTGCAGTGAGGGGCTGGCACGCAGACACACACTTTTTGTTTGCTGCACATAATCTGCCCAATGACGCGTGACAGCCCACGTCCCTCCCGTTAACCCCTTCGGGGCTGCCCGCTCGCCGCCCGCCTGCCCCTCACCTGGACCCGCTGCCACCGGGTACCTGCGGGGAAGGGGGCGGAAAACACGGGGTGCGTCGCCCCACCGACCCTCTCCCGGGACAGCGGGCGAGTTTGGGGCCGCGGTTCCGCTTCGACCCGGCCGGGGTAAGGGGCGGGGAGCGGGGGTGCCCGACGGCCCCTCTGCCCGGCACCGGGATCCCGGAGGCGTCTTTCCGCCCTGTCCCCGCACCTGCCAGGTAGAGCTAATCGGACACGTAGAAAAAAACTCTCCTCGGTGGGACGGAGTCGAGCGGGGATGCCCGTGCCCGGCCCCGCGGAGCGGCCCTCCCGCGCTGTCGGCGCTCGGCGGAGGCCCGGCGTGCGGAGAGGCGGCAGCAGGCAGCCCCGCGCTCCCCGCCGGAGCGGGGCAAGGGGCAGCCCCGGCCGGAGCCCCCCGCCCATTCCCAGCCATTCCGGGACGGGGTACGGCCGCGGGCTCTCACCCTGTACATGCGGGGCTCCCTCAATCGCCGACACGCGTGCAGCTTCGGGGAACAGAGACACTAGCAGATGCTCTGTGCCGAAATACGGGGTTTACCGCATGGAAAAGTGTTTASCGGTCCCTCCCTTATCGTTGTAATTTCAGATACAAAACAGATTTTTTAAAAAAGAACATTTAAAAATARAATTCGAAGCCCCTTAAACTAAACAAAAGGAGAGACAAAGCGTTTTCCAGGGGACAACGGAGCGGGGTTTGCAATCAGAGAGTGGACTGATGTTTGGCTTTCAAATTCACTTATCCTCCACATAATTACGATTTTTCTTGCATTAGGATTAAAGGCTGAGTATAATATGCTTTCAACATTTATCTTATTAATTCGACAAAACGCAGAGTCTCCTAAAACGGAGATTGTCATAACATTAAAAATATGGGCGTCTGTAAAAATTTGGATCTCAAATCCTCCTTCAAATGTAGTGGGGTTTTTTTCCTATTACTGTTTCTTTTTCCATTCCCCCCCTCCCCCCAATGCTGCAGCTCTCCCTGTAAGATATAAATTGTCCGAATGACTGTCATTAGTGGGGAGAAAGAAAATCTACGCGTTAATTTTATTAGTGAGAATTTTAAGGGACACCACGACACATAAACGATCTCGAAATCGCTTCGGCATTATGTAAGCCACCGAAATTCCCTGGAACTGGAAAGGACTGCGGTGGAATTTCTGAGCGTTTATCCAGCCTCTGATGCCACTCTAAAAGTGGATTCCAGGGAACAGCGTCCTTCGACCCGCAGAACGGCACTGAAATGGACGCCACTGAATTGGAGTTTCTGCAGCGCGTTGCTCCCGCCGGGAGCGTCCACCGCAAAACCGCAAAGCCCGGTGTCCCGCAGAGCCCGGTGCCGGCGGCGCTCCCCCAGCCTCACCGGGAAATGTCTCACCCGGATTTTTGGGGGACAAGGAGCATGTGCGCTGGGCCCGATCCTGCCCCGCCGCGCTGCCAGCGGGCGCGGTGTCACCCTACGGGGCCGCGCGATCACTGCCCGCCGCCTCCCGCTCCTATCTCTGGACATCCATGCATTTTCTATTCGCTTAATCTTCCCGAAAACCTCTCGCGGAGAGCCAAGGGCAGCCCGGGCTGAGGAGTTCCGGCCGTTTTCTCACAGACTCCCGCAGCCGGCAACCCCCCGCCACTCCCCAGGCTCCAAAAGCACAGTCCCTGCTCTGCCGACCCCCTGTCGACGGCACAACCAACTACCGGGCAAGGGGAGGCCCCAGAACCAGCGGAAAAGCCAGGGACAGGGGCTCAGAAGGGGCTGGGCTGGTGAGCCAAATTCCCACAGACTYGCCAGCCCCGACGGGCACCAAGCCCCTGGGGGATGGCCCCAGGTCTGCTGCTCCCTGGGCGGGCCCTTGTGAAGATTCAGGAGGCTGCAGRGGTGGAAGGGCCGGCAGAGTGGGGATGCCTGGAATCTTGGACACCGTTATCACTGACCATTGTGATAACTGTCTTCTGCTTGCGATGAGGTATGTGGGGATGGCAGCAAGGGAGAGCACCTGCTCCTCGGGGGTGTCAGTCTTCTCTTTCTTTCCYGAGCTCCACCCAGGGAGGGGAGAGGAGAGTGACCAGGAAAAGATGCTCAACTTGTGCTCAGAAACACTCCTGCATCCTTTGGGAAACACTACCTGAGTTGTGACCTGTGCTAGACCTACAGGTGTGTGGTTATTCCTATGAGGAGACACATACATAGCTGAGACACAGCTCCCAGGTGACTGCAATAAAGTCACTCGTAAAATAAAATCAGCGAGAGAACACATGAGATCCCAGCAGTACACGAACTCAGCCACACTCACTCCCACGGTGCCAGGGTACCCTGGGGAGGGAGCACAAAGAGATGCTCCAAAMTGCCTTGCTCCTCCTATGCCAGCTGCTGCCAGAGGCAGGGCCAGCTGTGGTCCCCACGAGATGCACACCAGGTAGAATGGAAAATCCACTCGGAACAAAACACAGAGCCACAGGCTTTCCTGGTGCCTGGAGAAACGCAGACAGAATGGCTCCCTTCCCTGGAGACAGACAGTCTCTGTAGTGGAAATGAATCGGGGCCTCAGCTGAACGACCAACCATCCTTTCTGCTTGTCACCAGGCTCGTGGATGGCACCTTTCATGGGGAAGCCCTGTGCTGGGGTGCCAGAGACATCACCAGCACGCTGCAGACACGGTGCACGGAGGAGCAGTGCTTCTCCACTGCTAATTCTGTCGAGCAGCACGGGGATGCCCCTGGGAATGCTCAGACCCACAATAACATGAACATTTGCTTAGCACCAGGTCCTTGCCAGGGCCGAGGCATGCCAACAACGTCCTGTCTTTGTTTCCAGCCCAGCTCCCAAACACACCTGGGGTGCCTGCCCCCTCCTATTCCCTTCGACCTTTCAGCCTCACCTCAYTGATGCAGCACCCTGGACTCAAAGGTCAGGTCACTGCCACGCCACAAAACCACAAATCCATAAAATGGGCCAGATACCACCTTTAGCTGTGGTTCACCCCAAACTGTTCTCCTCCCTAGGAACCCCAGTGGAACGAGACATACCTTCCCCACCTCATTTCTCATATTCAGACACACCACAGATACCTTGGCTGTTTCCTCACCCCTGATGGTGCCCGAGTCTCCCCTCTACTTTCTTCTGAGAAAATGCGGAGTCTAGTCAGAAATACTAATTTGTGACCAAAGGATCACAGAAATGTTTTTATTACTGACCACAACYCAGACCACTGAACATAATACAGGTGGCTGGTTAAATGCTTCATACATAACCCAATACCACTGCTGACTTTGTATCTCAAAATTATTTTTCTYAGGCTTTCTGCTTCTCCTCCTTACTTGGCCTGACAGCAGTATCAAGGTTTAAAACCTGGAAAGCTTTCACCTAGCTTCACCTTCCTTCAAATGCTTAACAGCCTGACAGAAGACATGATTGGCTATGAAGGAAAGGAAAAAGAGAAAAATGGAAAAGGGGGAATCCCCGCAGGTCTGAAATCTGCTTCTGCCTCCTGTACACCCTCAGGCCTTTCTGACCCTGCGTGCCACCAGCAGCGTCCAAAGCTGGGGCAGAGCCCACCCCACGGCACAGCCCTGGCCATGCCTAGGTGTAAAGCCAGGAGGAAGCTGTGCTGCAGCCTGGGGGACAGCAGAGGATGGGCCCCGGAGGGACGGTCCCACAGCCCTGGCCCAGTGTGGGATGCATGGGGCTGGGCAGTGCTGGGCATCATTTCCTTCAGGGTCCAGAGCTCAGAGCGGTAGCCTGGACATCTCTTTGGAGGCCACATGGCCCCCCTGCCATGAGGATGTCACTCAAAACTCCCCAGCAGTCCCTGAGTGGGCGCTGAGTCACACATGGCCAAGCTTTGGCAGGAGATGACTGCCCAACCTATTCCCGTCAGGTGCATAACCCCCCGGCAGGGATGGCTTTTCCCTTCCTGGTGCTGCCTGGGGGCTCTGAAGGCCTTAGCTGCTCCAGTGAGTGACAGTCCTTAAAGTTAGCAAAGGTTTACTAAAGCCTGGCACAGAGGGGGTGGGGAGAGCAGTGAAAGGACAGACAGACGGGGTCGGGGGGAGGGAAAAAATAAAGATGTTGAGGATTTCAGCTTCAGCTCTGCTGTAGCAACTTGATGTGGGGTGTGTGAAGGAGCTTGAAACTTAAAAAGATTTATTTTCTCTAGTCATAAATCTCATCCCGTTGTTCCTCTGACCAACCAAGCATGATAAAGTCCTTTTCCATAAAGTATTCAGTATTAAAGCCACAAAGCTCACCCAATCAGTAGCCATCTGCTTCTCCCATAACTGCTGCTCCAGAAGCAGGGAAAAGCAGCCAGAAGAGAAAGGGCAGCACTGTTACGGCTCCGGGACAAATGAGGAGGCACTGAATAGCAGCCGAAACCTTTGGTTTGCCTTGTATATCTGTATCTATAGAGACAGAGGAAGAAAGGAAGCATTATATTGATACAACAATTGTAAAACAAAAAAAGGAAGAGGCATCTAAAGGGCAATACAGCGGGCATCAGAGGGCCCCGCGGGGAGGGATACTCGCAGATTCATAAAGACCTTTAATTGCTTTGCAATTGAAAGATAAAGAGGCCGAGGGAAAAAAACGGGGAGAGCGTCAAAGCGACCTGCGTTACACGGTGCATCGGCGCCTGAGCTCTCGCAGCCAGCGAGTCGGAGGATTGCTCACTGGGGTACGATATCCCCGGGACTGATCCCCCAGACTCCTCCGGCAGGGAGGCTACAACCCCCAGGCGCCCCCCGGGATGTAGGACACGTCCCGCAGCCGCCCCGGCCTTCCAGGCTGCCTCCCCCGGAGGGTGTTTGGGGGGACCGCTCCTCGCCGCACCCCCGT